GAGTGTAAATAGAACAGTTCTTTTCACTCGCCCACTGCTGTGAATCCAAAGCACAGGAGACCTTGTTCCTGCCACACTGTACCTTGGGTATGTGTCCTGTTCTCATGCCTGTGTCTGATGGCAGCACTGTTGAATACCTGGTCTCATTGCTCCATGCGTATTCATCTTGTGCCTTTTCTCTAGTGCCAGAGATTGTGAGGGAAACCCAGGACCTCATAGAGCAAGGGGCGCTCCTGCAGGCCCACCGGAAGCTGATGGACCTGGAGTGCTCCCGAGACGGGCTGATGTACGAGCAGTACCGTATGGACAGTGGGAACACTCGTGACATGTCCCTCATCAACAGCTATTTTGGGAGCACACAGGGACTCTCTGACGAACTGGCGAAGCAGCTGTGGATGGTGCTACAGAGGTCGCTGGTCACCGTCCGCCGTGACCCCACCTTGCTGGTGTCCGTTGTCAGGATCATTGAACGGGAAGAAAAGATTGACAGGCGCATACTTGACCGAAAAAAGCAAACTAGCTTTGTTCCTCCGGGGAGGCCCAAGAATTGGAAGGAGAATATGTTTAAAATCTTGGACAAAACTGTAATTACCAGAATCGAGGGCACACAGGCTGACACCAGGGAGTCTGACAAGATGTGGCTCGTTCGCCACCTAGAAATCATAAGGAAGTACGTCCTAGATGACCTCATCGTTGCAAAAAACCTGATGGTTCAGTGTTTTCCTCCCCATTATGAGATTTTCAGGAATCTCTTGAGCATGTACCACCAGGCCCTGACAATACGGATGCAGGAGCTTGCATCGGAAGACCTAGAAGCAAATGAGATTGTGAGCCTGCTGACTTGGGTTTTAAATACCTACACGAGGTAACACTAACTTTACATTTTGTGTTTTCTTTTACATAGAAGTTGTATAAAAACATACTGACTGGCTCTAAACAGCTACTGTTGTTTTGCTCCTCGCAGGTGCTTGGCACCCACAGGTAATAGTTTCTGGTTGATGAAAGCCTTTCTAGTCCATCTGTGGGCCTTGTCCTTGAGGTCGGGCCCAGCCGCTAGTTGTGTGAATCATCGTATGTTTGGGTGGTGCCTCTGCCCTTGACATGCAGTCCATATTGAGCAGTTCAGCTTGGACTTCCCTGTGGTACTAAGTGTTCACTACATACCAACCTGCTTTCTCCATGAGATGATACTGAGCAGGTGGTTTCACCTCAGTTGGCAGGGGAGAAGACACTTGGGCCCAAAAGGTCCTTCACAGTCACGTGGTTGGTGAGGAGACACCAACTCT